CCCCAAAACCCCAAAACCCCAAAACCCCAAAACCCCAAGTCTTATGTATAGAAGTTCAAATTTGATTGAATTTAAATAACAATAAAAATGAAGATATAAGTATAGATTCTAGCCTTGCTGGGATTAATAGGATTTTCATTTGGATTTTACGATGGGGATTCCAAGGTGGTCAAATTAACAAATTAAAACTTCAATGATCTTGTAACTAATAGTCCTTAAGACTTGTGGTTCATAGAGTTTTATGCCCCATGGTGTGGTCATTGTAAGAAACTAGCGCCTATTTGGAAAGAACTTGCTGAGTAGCTAGATGGAGTTGCAAAGGTCGGAGCACTAGATATGACAACTGATAGAGAGGCTGGCTCTTCATTTGGGATTAGAGGATTCCCGTCACTTAAATTCTTTGGTATTAATAAAACAAGACCCAAGGACTATAATGGTAGGAGAGACCTTGAATCACTAGTAAAATTCGCAAAAGAATAAATCGAAAATAAAGATAGCTAACCTGAAGCAGATGATATAAAGCCCCCAAAAAGAAAAATGGAAGATATAATTGATCCCATCTAAAGGAGAAAACTCTAGGAGGACAGAATTATAGACCCTGAATAATAGAAGGTGAAGGATTAAGTTCCTAAATTTAGAGGTGCTGGAGATAAAGAGAGATTCACTCCAGGCAGATTCAGACTACCTCCCGATATTCTAACTTTCAATGAAACAACATTTGATACCTAAGTCATTTAAAACAATGATGTCTGGTTCATCTTATTCTATAAGGCTGATGATCAAGAGTCATTTAAAATTGCTTAGATTATGAGAAGAGACCAAATCAGAGTGAGAGATCAAGCAAAGATTGCAATCATCAATGTTGAAGAGAACCCAGAACTAGTAGCAAGATTCAAAATAGAAAATTCCCCTGTTCTCATTTACTTCAATACAAATGACACTGAAGGATATTAAAGATCTGATGCTGATGCTAGAGAGCTATCACTAAAAGATCTACAAAGCATAGCCCCAACCTTATAAAAACTATTGAGAGAGTAGAATAGCTATCTCGAAGAGATTTAAGATTCAAGACAGTTCTATAGTAAATGTAAACCAAGAGGTAGTTGTGTTTTTTTCTTTGTTCCTAAAATCTCTACCTAAATTACTGAAAAAGTCAGGAAAACCTAATTGGATCAATTAAGAGATTCCATCAAAGCAATTGAAGGTGAGGAAATAAATTTCTTCTGGAGTTAATATGAAGATCAATAAGCGCTGCAAGATACATTTAAGATTTCTACCTCAGAATCTGAAATTAAGGTTGCTTTAATTAAAGCATTCCAAAGAAAATTCGCCACTCTAGATGAGGAATTCAGCAAAGAGAGCCTAATTCAATTTATTAGTGATACAGATAAACCAAACTATAATTTCTAGGAGTTTAATATGAGACCTAATATTGTGGACAAAAACAGAGACTAGGATTTTGAAAGACTCAGGGTAAGTAAAACATAAATTTCTTATCGAACGATATTGCATTATTTTACTTTATATAATATGATTGTTCAACTATTTTATAGAGAAATAATAGAAAGACAAAAGACTCAAAATAAGCAAAAGATGATCTTTGAACCTATACCTTATATTCAAATTTAATTTTCTTTCTCAACCAAATCATATTACACACACTTCCTGGGGTTTTGGGGTTTTGGGG